TCTCTCTCTCTCTCTCTCTCTCTCTCTCTCTCTCTCTCTCTCTCTCTCTCTCTCTCTTGTGCGCGCTCCTAGTCTCATTGCTTGTGCTACCTTAGGGTTGCGTTCCCCGCCTCCACGCGGTAGATAATTTTGTTATGCCTTACCTCCTTATTTTGAGAAGACGGGCCTCAACGCCTGAGATTGAGGGCCCTTTTGCAGTTCACATGCTTTCACTTTTTTGGGGGGTCCGCTTCTACCCGAGGACCGGTTCAACGCCCCCCACTTCTTTTTGGGGTCCACGTCCACCCGATGACCGGTTCTTCCTTTTTCAAAAAGTCTCGGTTCTACTAGAGGTAATTGTAGGTAGTCCGCAATTTTGGCAAGGACCGGTCCCCCAAATTTTTTTGCCCCCTAAAAACCCATTTTGCGTCTTGGTCGCCTGCCACAAAAAATGCGACACCTTGACACAGACGCGAAAACCCACTATACCGCAGCGTTAGGGCTGCGAATACATAGTGGGTTCCTAGAACTACGCGAACACACCGAACATGTCGAGTCGAAGACGCTAGCGTTCTTCCCATGGAACACTTAGAACTATACTTCGAAAATGGGAAGTCGAAAGCTTTGTGCAACTTTTTACTTGAAACAGACACGTTTGCTCCATTTCCGAAGAATGAAGATTGGACAGTCGGTGGAGACAAAGCAAGATGGAAGGGTACGGTAGGGTTTGTCCCACGTGGCCCTTAGGACAATCAAATCGACAGAGCAAAGTGTATGGAGCAGCGGAGACAGAATAACGGAGCAGCGAGCGTGGAGCAACGGACAACGAAGCAACAGAAAATGATTAAGTCTGTCTCTTATACACATCTAGATGTGTATAAGAGACAGCGCTGTGTGTGTGTGTGTGTGTGTGTGTGTGTGTGTACACATCCCACAAAAACACGACAGCAACAAACATGAGTAAGAAAGCAGAGTTAACTCACCTTCAGTCATCGTGGCTCGGTTGTCCAAGCCTCAGCGTCCAACCTTCAGGATGCAGAATCCAACCTCTATCGCGTAAAAGAGCTTAGCAACAACGAGTCTGTGCCCTGCGGTCGTGGGTGCGAGTGTGTATAGGTGTTTCCTTCCACCGTTGAGCAATAGTTCAAATCGAAAGTCGGACGTGGCAGGTTAGACCAGTCGAAGTCGAGCGTAGGCGCGCGGTTTCCTTCTGGCGCCGCCAACCGATACAGCAAAATAGGGCCGACTTGAGGTTTTCGGCATCGTTCGGGTCGCACTGCAGTACCTTAGGATGGGACAACGCCGTGGCCGTCTAGAGATGGCGATTTGGTACTTCGCTGGTACAGCAGTGCAACCCTTTTTGGAGGGGAATTTGGGATTATTGGTCCCAATGTTCGCAGCCCGTCAGGGTTGCGTTTTCCCCCCCTGAGACATTTCAACGTTCAACGTCATTTCAACGTAGTGGTCGTCCGGAGGGTGGGCATTTTGAGGTTTTGGGGCCTTGCAAGGGCCAGGACCGCGTAGGACCGGTAGCTGCGCGGAGGAGGCTGAGGAGGCTGAGGAGGCTGAGGAGGCTGAGGAGGCCGTGGTCCTGAAGCCTTTTTCGACAAGGGTGCACTTTTCTCGAATGCCACAGTTTCCTCAAATAGAAAATGTACAGGTTGTATTCGAATACAACCTGTACCCTTTCTATTCTTTTCGGATTTCGAAAAGAAAAAATCTTGTATTCCGATAAAATTACTTTTTCTTTTTGTTGGAGGTTAGCGCCTGCCCTCTTGCGCCCCGCCACTGACATGTTGCATGTTGCAGATCTCTCTCTCTC